ATGGGCCCACTAATGGGCTTAAATGATTTGGGCCACAGGCCCACGGCTCACTTGCTCTACCCGGAGGGATAAGATGGTAAAAGTTCAAGAGACAATCCAAGCAAGCTTTTGAGAATTCCCTRAACTTCACACCAATTCAATTCATTTTCTTCATTTTGGATTTTCCCAAAACTTAAACACAACTCTCATCATACTTGAGATAGAGTTCGGGTCCGTTTGATAACGATTTTATTTTTGAATTTTTGTCTCCGAAAAATAAGCTTATATATCGACAAACTTTTTCTTTGCTTCCTAATCTACTTGTACACCGCCAAAATTTCAAAACTAACACAAAAATAGTTTTTTCTGTTTCAAAACTTGGCTACGATTTTAAAAGTGTTCGTAAAAAGTGAAAAGAAAAAAAACCTAACAAAGAAAACATAGAAACAGATACAAACACTATACGCTCAATTTTCAAAAACAAATAACCAAATGAAACAAAATCGTTATCAAACACCGCCTATACAATTGGAAATAGAATAACAAAGCCCTTGCAGAGCTTCAACATTTCTAATATGATACAAGCAAACTCCACCTCCTATGCACCAAAAAAGAAAAGGGAAAAAAAGGCTTCATCTTTGAAAACTCTCTCTTAATATACTAAATAAACTCTTCTAAAAAAAGAATTTGGCAAAAGGAATTTTTGAGCTTTCACCTTGGGCCAGAGAGCTCCATGGCTTGGACCAACAATGAAGAGTCATCTGTGAGATCAGAGTATCTGTCCGAGGAAGAGAAATCATGGGGGGGTTTGCATTTTGAAGTGTCCACTCTCTGTGAAGCTTCCCATCTCACAGCAAGCCCTTCTCCTTCAAGCATTCTCACAACTTCTGACATTTTTGGTCTGTGTCCTGGCATGTATTGGGTGCACAGCAGAGCCACTTGAACCATTTCCTCTACCTCAACTCTCTCATAGTTTGCTTTCAAATCCTTGTCCACCAGCACTTCCACCTTCTTCTCTTGCTGAATCTTCTTCACCTGAAATTCAGTCATTCAACAATGTTATTCATTTATTTTCATCTTCCCATCTCGATCGACATGTTTCGAAATCTTTTGTTGGGTTATGAGCATTAGTTTGTTAAGCAAAACATCGTTTGTTGTTATAGGCTTGTTTGGTAACTGATTCGTTGTGCTCCCTCTTCCTATCTATCTTTCCATCTTGATCAATATGTAGCTGAAACATTGTTGTTAACTTCCTGTTTCGAGCCTTTTCTTTGGTTTATTAGCATGAGTTTTGAACCGAAGAGAGGGAGAGAGGAATGAGGATAGTTTCACGAACTCCATTCGTGTCACTACCATTTTGTTGGGTTCATGTTCTCCTCCTCCCTCTTGAAAAGTTTTGGAAGACAGAAGAGTTTAAGAGAAATCAAAGGGTAAGAAAGATGAACAGAAAGATGGGATGTTTTGAATTGTTTCTTTTTATGGTAGTGCTAGTGCATACCCAGTCAAGAATGCCTCCTTTCTGATTAGCTGCTTTGCCAAACTCAAGGGCTCTCTGCCCTGTGATTAGTTCAAGGAGTAGGATTCCGAATCCGAAAACGTCTGTTTTCTCGGACGACTGTCCAGTGGAGAGATACTCGGGAGCTATATGTCCCACGGTGCCTCTCACGGCAGTTGTTACATGTGAATCTTGATGATCCAGAAGCTTAGCCAACCCAAAATCTCCAACGACAGCCTCGCAGTAGTCATCAAGCAATATGTTTGCAGCCTTAACATCTCTATGTATTATCTTTGGGTCACACTGTTCATGGAGGTATAACAATCCCCTTGCAGCTCCTATAGCAATTCTTTTCCTTGTTCCCCAGTCTAACACCGGTTTTCCTGCAAAAGAAACCGATAATTCTCTTATGTTACATCGGCAGACATTTGATAGGGGCATATGGTTAAGTATCAAATGTATACATGGTTACCTTTGAGACGTGAAGCAACGCTTCCATTAGACATATATGGATAAACAAGAAGCCTTTCGGTCGGCGTATTGCAGAACCCGTATAGTCTGAGGAGATGACGGTGCACGGCAAGGCTGATCATCTCAACTTCTGTCTGGAACTGGATCTCCCCTCTACTGGCATTGCCATCTTTGAGCCTTTTAACAGCTACAACCGTTCCATCCGAAAGAATTCCTTTGTAAACATTTCCAAAACCTCCCTTTCCTAGTATGTTCTTGCTGCTGAAGTTGTTTGTTGCTATCTGAAGTTCTCTAAATGGGAACCTTCTCAGATTTCCGAGCGAAACTTCCTCATGTTGTCGGTCTGCAATTCACGAGATTAGCATCAAATCAAGACGAACGGGACTCATAATAGAGCGATAATATAATTTTAACTGAAGTTCAAAGTTTGGTCTTATTGTTTTACATGCCGAGTTRAGATGGTGGGGTTAGTGCAAATTTAACAGTAATCGTGTCGTGACAAGTGAAAATATTTCAATGCTCCTCATAATGTACCTTTTACATCGAAGAATGTCAGTCGATTGCTTCGTCTTCTCCACCATATGAACAGTCCAAATACAAGAACAATCAGACATAGGCAAGCTAGGCTCAAGCCAAATGTAAGAGCCATTTTGTGACTCTTCAATCTCACAGCAGGTAAACCAGCTAAAGAAAAGCAAAGAGACTTGGCTTAGAATAGAATCACCACAAGAATTCTTACAAATTAACTAATGAATTGCGAAGGGTCTGAAAGAATTTCAGTGGAAATGCGTTTACAAGAACCTTACTTTGTGAACTGTTCAAATTCATGGACATGGGCATTAGAGTCGTTCCGTGGCAGCCCGCTTCGGACCCGCTTGCACAGATCAGAGGGTTTCCAACAATGCTTCAATTCCAGAAAGATAATGTGAGTGAAATTTCACACAATACACAGAGAAAAGAGAGCGAAAGGAGAGAGGAGAGAGATACTTGAATGTTTTACTGGGAAATCTGGGCAGAGGGCCACTGAGATTATTATAAGACACATCACTGCATTGAAAACAAATTTCAGAATAAGAAATTGAATTCAATAAGTTTTCATCAGAATCATGAACCAAAGATGGATGAATATGAAAAGAGAGAAACTAACTTACAGAAAAGCAAGCTGGGTCATGTTGGCTAAAGACATCGGAAATACCCCAGAAAGACTGTTGTTGTTAAGCCTCCTAAAATCAATGGAAACCAAACCAAATTAAACTAAAAACATTTGGGGGAAAGAAAAAAACAAAACAAAAGGCATTATAGCCAGGAAGATGTTTACAAGTACTGTAGGCCTCTCAAATGGCCCAAAGAAGAAGGAATTCCCCCAGTGAAGAAATTGTTTGATAGATCAAGAGTTTGAAGCTTTGAGAGCCTCCCAAGCTCTGGAGGAACTGGGCCTGTGATATTGTTGTTCTGCAACAGCCTATAGAGAAAATGCAAACCAGTTTTCTCACTGATTTTCTCCATTCTCAAGGGGGGAAGAGAGAGAAATCATTTTTACTTACACAATTTGAAGGTTTGTCAAATTCCCAATGCTTGAAGAAAGAGTCCCAGACAGGTTCTGGCTTGGAGTTCCTCTGCATTTACGTTCCAAACCCCACCAAAAGAAAGAAAAATGAATCAGAACTTCAATGGCGGATTGCCTCCATTTCCCAACTCTCCATTATTCAGTTCATATTCTTAAAGAAAAAGGAGGAGAGGAAGAAGAATTTACAGGCCAATGACAAGGCTCTCAGCCGAGCAAGTAACCATGGTCCAGCTACATGGGTCAACAGAGTCCCCATCCCAATTCTCAAGCACACCATGGGGATCTTGAAGGGAAGCTTTTATGCTCATTAGAGCTTGAACTGAAATGAAACAAATAAACCATTGTCCCCCATGAAAAATTCTGTAGTTTCCATCTTGAAATGGCCTAAACAGACTGACCCATCTTGCAGAAAAATGGAGAAAAAAAAAAAAGAAGAGGTAATCAAATTAAAGGTTTCTATTTCTCTCAGTTACCTTCATAGTTTACACCTTTGGGAGAGAGCAGGCCATTTATTGCAGAAGCCCAAAACAATAAAGAAGCCACAAGACAGGAAGCAGCAGCCTCTGTTCTCCTCATTCCCATTAAATGCTCATGTACAAAAAAAAAAACCAGAGAGAGCCCAAGCAGAAGCTGAAAGTTTTGGAAAATGAGGGCTGGTTGAAGAAGAAGGAAAGCTAACCCTCAAAAGGGGTCTGGTTGTTTAATAAGGAAATCTTCAAATCAGAACCCAATTTCTGGTTTTTATGCCAGAAATTTCCCATTAACAAAAGAAAATCTTTATGTCAGAGCCCAAATGGAGGTGGGGGGAGAGGCAGTTTGCTTTTGGTGGCAGTGGGCAGTGGCACTAGCAAGGCATGCTTGTCGTTTGAGACAGGAAGTTTTGAAGAATTTAATATGGTGACCCTTTAAAAGAATCAAACGAAACAAACCAAATCCACGTAAGTTTCAAGATTAAAATAAATGTAAACAAGAGAGAGATTGGGCATTATTTTACCTTTAATCATGTGTGATGCTTTTAAAAGGTGCCATGTGAATTGTAAATTCCTTGCATATTATTCTTAATCTTGTAAAAATAAAGTACAAACAAAAGAATATTGAAACGGGTCATTCAAAACCATTCAAAAGCTCCTTTATTTTTCAAAATCTACAAGCTGGAAGAAGAAATCTGAGCTCTTGATAAAATCCTCCAAACCACTTTTTCCCTTTTTAAAGGTGACCCAGTAAAAACAAGCTGATTTCGACTCACGGGTCCATAAAACCATGCGAAAATTCACCCAATGTCACACAAAAAGCTCCCTTTTTTCCCCCAAAAAATTCAATCTGGAAGAAGAAATCTAATCTTTAGACGGTTTTGATTCATGGGTCAGTGAAATTATACGAAAATTCACCCGATTTCATATCATTCAACAGTCCAGCATGAAGAATTCTACTTAAACTTGAAGAACTCTGCCATGTTTTCAGATCTGAGCAATTTGTTAATGGTCAGTGAAGGGAATCAATCCATTGAAACTCGCAAGTAAATACATAATAGGTTATGAAGAATCAAACATTCTATATGTTTAGCCATTCAGCAAAGTCCCAAAAAAGCCATAACTACGAAAATGGAGAATGTGAGAATCTCGAGGAGAGGCTATGGAGAAGGGAAGAGGTAGCTCGATTCTGATGATAATGGAGTTGGCCACCCACTATGAAAATAATTACAAAACCCATTCATCTTTTTTGGATTTTGGTTTGCTTTTTTCCTGTCTTTTAAAAATCTGGGTTGGTTCATTGGTTGCAAAATTTTCTCTTTTTCCTTTTCCTTTTCCATTTTTTGTAGTTTTGAAATGTTGGGATTTGCTTTTTAAAGGGGAAGAATTACACATGCTCAATTCTATCAGAAGCCTTCTAGCAGACAGTCATTCCACCAAAACTGTTCAAAAAGAGAAGTGCTTTTGGAAAAGGAAAAGCTGACATCTCTCTCTCTCTCTCTCCTCTTTTCTTTGTTTCTCTCTCTCTAAATAATGAGTTTTTTTTTGTGCTGGTGATGTGATCCCCCATCGCAGGGCCTGCGCGTGCAAACAGCTCCTCAATTATAGGTGAATAGTGCTTTTGCTAGTAGTGCTTTTCTTGGACCTCTCTTCTTCACGATCATGGTCTTGCACTTGCTGCTGCCCACTAATCTTTCATAGCTTCTTTTTTTCCTTTTTTTTTTTTTTTTGAATATATGATTCTTTGGTTAAGGATTTGTTTTTTTATTACCCAGAGTTACCATGGCCATATGCTCCTATATCATGTGCACTGKCCCTACATTCTTGGGTGGAGTTGAGACTTGAATCCAATACGTCAAGAATATTCTTGGAGACACCAAGCCACCCAAACTATCTTTTGTGGACTTTTTGTTGAGGATGCTTGAACCGACAAAGTCTCAATAATCGAGTGCCTTAATTTTTATAGCTACGTCTAACAAGTCATTGAATTTTAAATACAATAGACATCTGAATTTTCAATTTCGTATTTAATAGGTCCTTTGAGATCTACTTGAAGCTTGTAAAACTTAGAGACTCGACTTAAAAGTTTGGAAACAGGTTGTAACACGACTTGATTTAACCTTTCATTTTAGAGTTCAAATCCATAGGATTACTTTTAATTCAACGATATAATAATAAAGTGAGTCATTTTAAGATTAAGTTATGAATTTAGTTTCTGAATTTGCAACTTTTAAAAAAACTTAATTATATTTTTAAACTTTGAATTATATTTTGATTGATTTAGTCTCTATCGGTCATTCAACCAATAGAATACTGATGTGATAATTTTTTTTGAATTGACATGACACAGAGAACAACAAGATAGATTAATGATAAGATAACGTTCTGCCCATAAATTATTCAGTGACATGCTTATGAAGTGTTTAGTTTTCTTCGGAAATTTAGGTTCAAATGTCTCATTCATTTACATGAAATATTTAAAATGGTAGGAAAATATAGACAATAAGGAATATTTCTTTTCCTTTTTTTTTCAAAATTTTTTTGTCATGTTTACAACATTCCCTCTTCTCCTTTTTCATTTCATGACAATTGTCTATATTTCCTTTATGGTTCAATTACTTAAACAACCCTCAAATTTTGGATAAATACAAATAGTAATGTGAATGTGAACCATCATGATAAAGAAAAATTTTGCAAATTTATAGTTTCTCTTTTCTTTTCCTTTTTTTTTTCATTTTGGACAAATTTAGAAATATCACATGCAAGACCCACAAAATCATTAAACAAAAGTTAAACAAACTTATCAATTTTGTATAATCTCACTGCTAAGTTTGAGAATCCAATTAAAAAGYTCTTTGATACTTTAAAGATCTAATTTTTTTTTAATTTAAAAAAAAATCAATAGTTCCCATAAGATATAATTATAGGAAATCKGTAAGGATTCCAATAATTAATCACTACCACTCGATTAAACTAAGAGTAAATTCTACTATTTTCATTCTTACCCCATAATACAATAACGGACAAAATGAGAACATAAAATAATAACAGCGAAATATAAATGTAAGAAGTATCATTCAACTAAAAAAAATGGAATATAGATCGTATCCAGAGCTCTCGACTCACGATAATGGTGGAAACTTCCAAATTAACACGGTATTCAACTTAAATATTGTAAATTAAAACTTAAGTTGCATTGAAATTAAACACCATAATTTTGGGAAGAGAGAGGACCACCAAAACAAAACCAAAAGCATCCCAAAATTGCCAATCATTCTCCAAGCAATAAAAAAAGTAAGATGGACCAAGCATAAGAAAAGAACACAAAAACTTTAATAAAAGAATGACAAAACTGACCAAAGAGATTTAAGTTCACAAAAATTCCAAGAACAGCTACACATTATTGTCTTATTATATTAAAAAAATCACTATGCCTCAATTACACCACAGTGAAAAAGCACCATAAACCACCCTTTGATGCAATTTATCAAAGTGGAAGATTTAAACCATTGTTTTTTTTTTCCTTTTATCTCAAGGAAATGTGAAGAGATAATGAAGGAAAAAAAAATCAATGAAAGCAACCTAAGGTCAAGTGCAACGGTCTACCTAAGATTTAAGTGTGTTCCTTGTCTACAACAAATTAACTATAGCTTTGTTTGAGAAATTCTTTTCACAAAAGCTTTCTAGTTTTGCTTTCGAATTTATTTTAAATATTTTGTGAGGTTGCTAGGAAAAATTTTCTTAAATATAGAGGTCGGGATGCTTGGTTTATAATGAGCGGTATCAACTAGTTGATTGATACAAGTCAAGTGTAATGGTCTACTAAAATTGTGATGTAGTCCATATATTTACGACAAATTAATTAGAGCTCGTTTGAGAAATTATTTTCACACGGTCTTTTAGAATTATATCATGATTTGGGTTTGTAAAGGTATTGTACATTTCAAATACCTTCATAGAAAGAGCAGCTTCAAATTTTTTGAAAAGATCATGGTTGGAAACTCGGGTTTTGACAAGATTTTGAAGATTCGTTTTTTAAAACTGTTTTCGGATTCTGTAATCCAAACTATAGAAATTCTGAAAACGTCTTTTTTATGTTTTCAGATTCAGAATTTGAAATTTTTAAAATGCAGAATTACATTAAAAAAAAATATAAAAACTTTAAAATATATTACTTCATATTATAAACTTATTTTATGTTTGGTAAAATTAAAACATGTAAAATATAATGTATTCTAAATTATATAACCTTGTCAAATAATAATTATACAAAATTCAAATTAATATAAGTTTAGATTAAACTAAAATTTAGTTTGTGAATACCTCTCATTTACAAATATATTGCTAAACACACATTGAACAAGTTGAATCTCTGAAAACAAAGAAAACAAAGAATATAATTCTGGTTTTCGTTGAATCCCTTGTTTTCAAATCTATGTTTTCTGAACTAACCGCAGGCTAAAATTATCATGAAAACAAAATAAAGAAACTCAAATGGAAACTTTTTCTCCCATACAGAAATACCAGCTAAAAAGTGAGAGTGATTGAACAAGACACATTCAATGTCCATGGCAGAGGAACCACCAAACTCCAAAAGTATCAAATTCCTTCAATATTTCAAAATCAATTAAACATCAAATAAATTAAGATAATGATCATTATTAAGGGAAATTTTGCAACACATTACAAGATATACTAGAAATAATGTACCAGGTTGCAAAACTTTCCATTTCACTTTGTATAAACATGACAAAGATCTACGATAATGGTTCATAATTCATAACAACAATCAAGAAACGTATTCAAAACTACTCCACAACAACAAGGGGCAACTTTTTGAAACCCAAAAAAGGGTAAAAAGAAAGCATTCTTATCCTCAAAAATAGTTCAAGGAGATTTTTTAAAGAAAAACAAAGGTGGGGTAAGCCAAATGAGTAGGAAATAATAAGAGTTTGAACAAGTTGAAGAAATTTTGAGTGGATGGGAAGAATTAGAGACATTTCTTCCACATACTGAATTTTTATAGAGAGCCACACCCACATGTTATTGCTTATGCCAAAATATTTCAAATTTCAATCCAAATGTTTGAGTAAAGTTTTAGAATCCAATTTTGTCTCCATTTCTCACTACCCACTTAACACACACTCATCTCTCTCTGGTGGGATTTGGTTGGAACCTTCTATGGCATGCAAATGGATATTTGAATTCGTGATTAAGCATGTTGGGATAAGGGCTACAAGCACAATAATGTTCATCTCGGACCATAGAGATTGTCCACTGAGACTGTTCCAAGTTGAACTAAGAGCTACTAAAGTAGATACGACTATAAAGAAAGGATTATTATGAAAAAAGGACTCATGTGAGTTCATCCCACTTGCTTAATATATATATTACGTCCATTTTGAATTACATGTTTCTTATATATCTAGTAATGGCTGATAATGAATGAAAATAGTGTTCGTAGTACTAGAAAGTTTTCTCCCTCTTTGTTTCGGCTACGTGTAAAGAGGTAAAAAAGCTTCAAAATCTATCCTTTGTAAATTGAGTATCCATTTCAAAGAAAAGGAAAACCCATCTTTGTAAGTCATTTGACAGGAAAGTGAAAGAGATGAAAAAAAGGATGTTGTGATAATGAAAGGCAGTTTATATGAGGGAACATAGTGTCCTGATTTCCGTCATTCAATTCCCTTTTTCAGAGGTTAATTTCGTCCATTCACCCTTTTCTCTCTCTTCTTTTATCTTTTCCTTTTTTATTTTTAACAGTTTAATCAATTAAGACACCCTTTTTTGTTCGGGTAATTTGCCTCCCAAAAACATTACATCTTTCAAACATATTGCAAACCACTTGAATATTTGGATATGGTTGCAATGCTCTTTATGTTAACATCATTCTTTTTCATTTTTTCTGAAGAAATTATTTTGAATTTGACAAAAGTTGATTAATAGACTTGGATTTCCTCAAATTTTGGAATCCTCATACATAAAATTGTAGTAAAAATAAATAAATAAATAAAGAACGCTACTGCAAATTCCCCCCAAATTGCTGGCTTTGTGAAAAGTAGCCTTGTTTTTTTTTAGGGAAAAAAAAGACAAGTATTAATTTTGAATAGTAAGATCTAAAGACCTTGTCTTTTATCCTATTACCCCCTTTTGTTAAGACAAATTTTAGCTCCACCCCTTCATAAATGACACATCAATCAAATTTTCAATCCAATATTAAGCAGAAATAATCAACTGATTTAAAACTAAAACTGAGAACAATCCCAAGATAATGGTTGGGAAAATCTAACCATTTCTTTTAGTAGAGACAAAGCACAATGATCCTCAAAAAGAAGTTTGAATGCGTGAAATGGCTAAAGAATTTCCAAAGTTGGTCCCCCCAGCAGCAGCTCCATGGCTGGTCTCTGCAATAAATGTTGTGAGAAATGGGTAACCAGCAAGTGGGGGAAGCAATAGCTACTAATCATAGAAAAATGATGACAATTTTGTCACACTGTCTGTAAGAACCTAAGTTGTCTTTTGTCTTCTGCCTACATTCTAATGAACATCACAAGGATTGAATATGACAATCAAAAGGCTCCAACATAAATGAAAACTCTTTCTCTGTTCCTTATTAAAATTTTGCTTTTCTTTATTTTCCAACCTGGTAATGACCATAGAGCAAAATGATACAAACCCTCTTGGCTCGTTTGGTCTCACTCATATCGTTTTGCTCATAGACATGTCCTAATCAACCTGTTTGGCAAACTGTGTCTTGGCTTGCCCAAAAACATATTATTCAATTCAATATGGGGAGGAAAAACCAAGTATCAGCTATCAGAAGATTCAGAAACGATGAAATCTAACATAAAGAATGATATATGACTCAACTAACAGTTTCTTCATACCTCGATAGAGAAAGAGAGAGATGGGTCTTTTATGAGTGGCTGCAAATGCTGCATAATTGGCCTGAAAGAATAGTATTTAACTCGATCAGTCAAAAAATCAGGCAACTATTACAGTTTCTGCTTGACACCCATAAGGTATAATTAAACCTATATGAAAAAATAACTAGGCAATAGGCAAAGATTTGAGCATTTTCAAACATGCAACAAGTTTTTGTACTTCAAGTCAATAAACACACTCTGGAAAGTAACATGTGTGGCTTTAAGAAAGCTAGATTGTCAAGGGCTTTGGCAAAGTGACTGCTAATAAGACTAGGTAGTTTTTTGTTTACTAAACAAATTGATGGGACATTTGATGTTTCATGCTATGAGCTATAATGTATTATAATCAACATTTTCTTTTATCACCTTTGCTGCTATAACAAGCTAGAATCTCTTGCTTAGCTTTAAACAAAAGATAGACATCTGGATCACTTTTCAAATATATTAAAAAGAAGAAACTCAAGGCAATGTAAACATAATTAGTATTGGTACCATGAAGACAAGATCCACTAAATTCCATAACAATTAGAAGGAAAGAACATTATCCTGGAACATTGATAAGATTTAATACGATTAAGCAAATTATGAGTGGGTAGGCAAGGTGGGGGTATTATTCTCCAAGACAAAATGTAGTGCTAACAAATGTTTTGAATGAAACCAAATCAGTTGTCTTCCTTAAAACACTAAGAATAAAAACCTTTTAGACAATTTCATCATGGTGAGAACATATGTTACTTTTCTCACTCTCTTTGAGTGCTTTTAACAAATGGAGTGAGAACTTTTCTACATGAACAAATAGGCACAATAAAGGGCAGAATGCTTTCAGACATGCGCAGCTTACTGTAAATCCCAAGATTAGCAGAGTTAAGGGATTTACCATACAAGAATTCTCTTATACAGCAGGCAACATACAGAATTTTATCTGATATTCTTGGCCCCCAAGAAGCTTCAAAGCTTACATACTGGAGATGACGGCCTGAGTTTTCAGCTTTTCTGGAAGGTTCCTATTTTCTCCATAAAACTCAGAAAAGCAACATGTACTAGGGGTCAAGAATCAATCATTTTAGTGATGTTTTTCAGAGGGTAATTTTAAAAAATATTCTCTGCATCTTTCCTGTATCACACTTAAAAATTATATTCTTTGCACCTTTCCCGTACCACACTTAAAAATTATGTGCAATAATCACAATTAAGTATCAAAAATTAATAAAATAAATGTAAATTGATTGTCTACATTCCAATTTTGGGAGAGCGATGAAAAGTTGACCCCATTCTAACACACCCACTAGATTAGTGAGAACATTAAATAATGTTAGAAGACCTAAGAAAAATAACAATAATAATAATTGAACGAATAAAACAACAGCATTTGTTTATGTGTCTACAGGCACGAATGCGCCAAAAAGACACGTGCCTATAGCAACCGAAGTCTAAAATTGAAGAAGTTTCTAACAGCTCAAATGGTAGAAGTTTGAAAGAATGCACCCAAACAAGAGTTGAATAAGATGTATATCCTTGATACAGTAGATTAACAGATGGAAAAAGCTTGAGGATTTACTTCCGCAATAGGCTAAAGGTCTAATAATGCCTGATTGACTAGTTATATCAGGCAGACAACTCAGTTACAAAAGCTCCATCATTTCCCATGACATAACAGTCAACATAACCAAAGATAATCAAACCCATAAAAAAGTAAATTAAAACTTATCCATATACTCATCTGACTCAAGTTGAATCACGATGCATCTACAGGAATCGTAACTAAAGAATCTTAGATTCAGGTTGCCTGCATACAGGTTGCTGACTTACTGGCAGTGTCAACATATACATGTATTTACAGAGCTCCACAATGTCCGGTTCCTATTGTTGTCATATTCGCATGATCTCTGGGAAGTGACAACGGAAATTTGCAAATACAAACAAAAAAATATCCGAGTAGATAACTTGATGCCATCTAGTCTAAAGGCAGAGAACGTTAGAAATACAGTTGGGTTCAACAAAGAGTCCTGGTTAAAAAATATCCGAGTAGATAACTTGATGCTGTCCATCTCGTGAGCTTCTAATTGCCAAATGTTATGTAGTCAGAGTATAGTTCTCAATTTCAAACTTGAGGAACACATGTAGATCATTGAAAGATTTCTGGATATTTAAAAATATCATCCAATTCAAAGAGAGGAAACGAGAGACAACCATTTTTATAGAAACTACTCCTAAAACTGATATTCCCATATTTCAAGAGAGATTCCAAGCTTCTCCAACCTCATGCTGGAACAGGTCTTGATTGCAGGCTTCAAGAAATAGTATTGGAAACTTTCCTCATGAAAAATAAGAGAGAGATAATACTGCTACAAATTGAAAGACCGTGGTCAGGGACCAATGCGGGTCAAAGAATATACTTATTTACTCTGTGCCATCTTTTTCCGTATCTCATGAGCTGTGTTAAAGATCCCGAGCGTAGGCTGGTTGCAAACGAAGCATTTCTTATTCTTTGCATGGTGCTGCAGATTTGTATCAAAAAGACATGATTTAGATTTCATTTCAAAGACGAGAAACGAAACATAAAATGCCAGAAAAAGAGAAAGGAAGTGTAAGATGTAATGATCATCTAAAAAGTGTGCTCCTGAGAAAGAAGGGGCAGGGGGAATAAAACAAATAAATAATATACAGAGCTTTTGCAGTTAAAGATATGAACTATAGACATGCAAAGATATTAAATCAACACCATGTCACACTTGCAGCAACATTTTTCCAATGCTTCAGCCATCTCACTACATTCTCTGTTTACATTCCTCAACTAAACTGCATTTCAAGGAAACCTTTAAATTTTAAAATATAATTGCAACGTACACTGTTCTATAGAAAATTTAAGATAATTGGGAAGTTCTTTATTAGAAACAAATAATTGGCAGTTCAAACAGTTACAGGAAAGAATAACAGAAGCAGTTGGGTGTCCTTTATTTCTTTATTCTTTTTCTTTGATTGGGATAGTTGGATTATCTTCTTGAAATTTAGTTTTGAGCATAACTTTTACAAATGAATTTTTTTTCCTTTCTTACTTTAAAATATCTTTTCATTTGTTGAAAACATTTTATTTCTTTTAAACATATCACAATTTGATTTATTACGATTGAGAAAAGCTGAGATTAGTGCTTGTCAATGGCTTACGTCAGAAAAGGCCTGAAAGCTATAAAAAGAATCAAAATGAAAAACAATTTTTCAAAAATAAAAATTTATAGGAACAATTTCTCAGTTTCATTCCCAAACAAACTCCTAATCATTGGAAATAACATTTAGACTAGCGGTGAAGGTAAAAAACCATTAAAGAAGGGATAAAGAGACAACAAAACTTGAATTCTGAATAAAAATTACCACCCAGAGAAGAACAAAACGGAGCAATTACCTTTAGTGCGCAATGCTCACAGAAATAATGTTTGCACTTGGTCATAACAGGATCTACAAATGGCTCGCGACAAATAAAACATGCAAATGGCAAGGCATCTTCCTCATCTTCATCACTCTGTTCTGCAGTATCCTCATCCCCTTCATCAGATCCCATAGCTAATTTTCTCTTCCTTGCTTTCTCTACTTCCTCCCATTCCTTTTCCAACTGCCACCCAGACTTGTAATCCCCTCGATCATGCATAAACTTGCATGCATCTCCGTAACCACAGTAACCAGTCTCCTTGTAATCCTTGCAAATATCAGGCTGATAATCAAATCTTGCTGAAGCCCTTATATGAGCAGAAGCTCTAAGCGGCCCATGTGCTCCACCAGCTTTTTCACTTGAAATTGTTTGTTCCCTTCTGAAGCCAGCCTTGTAGTCCACATAGGCATTGACCCCTTTATACAACTTCTTCTCATCCCCAGAACTCTTTCCTTTACCCTTCAAAGCCTCATCAGCTTGCTTCAAAACTCTCTCACGGATTGCTCGTGCATCTCTTGAGAACTCAGTCTCTGTTTCAAGTGTAGCAGTAGCTTTGCTATCATGGTGAACTTGAATTTCTTTTGAAGACTCAAATTGGAAAATTGGTTTATCGGATTCCACATTTGACTCATTAGACAAGGAACTTTTAGAGGGTCCAGAAGAAAAATAAAGCTTGCTTTCAGTCTTGAGAGCCTTTTTCTGATTTAGCAGCAACGAAGTCTCTGTTTTAGAGTCCTCCTCCTCATCTTCATCAATCGTCCGTTTCCTGATGTTTTTATTCTTTGTGGGTTTTTTGAAGAAGCTACAGACTGAAGTTCAAAGGATTAAAAAGCTATAGAGAAATAATAAATAAGAAAACCTCATGATGGAAATAGAAGATTTTATATAAACACATTAAAAATAATTGAATGGAACAAAAATCACTATTACCTTGTTCAGGCTGCTGATTTTCACCTGTATCTGTCATTATATAGGAGTAAGACCAGCTGGATTTGGAATAGATGCTACAGTGGAAAACAAGTTGAATTGGCTTATGTCTTGAGCTCTCGAATGATCAAAATGTAATGCTTTGGTCCTGTTAAGAAATAATTTGTATCATGTTTAAACATTCTACTATCCGAAATGAATTTAAAATAGATCTTCAGATATTAGACGGAGGGATTTTTATAAAGAAGGGATTTTTCTGTGGAGAGAGAGAGAGGGGCCAGCTATTTACAGTCTCTCCGTCCCTCGTTCCATTTATTCATCAAACTAAAACCCTAGCAAATCTCATATTCGAGACAGTTGCAAAAAAGCAGGAAAAGTAAGTTGTGGTTAATTCAATTCTAGGATAAGTCACGTAATCGTTTGGAACTAGCAATTCTACGCTAATTGCAGCTTTGTCACTTCCCTCACATATGCTTACCAGAATCACCGCTGCCGGCAACCTCAATCCAACGGCCAACCTTCGTCCACTTTCACCTAAGACAAGACCAGAGAAGATACTATATTTGCTACACCTCCAATCTCAGAACTTGATGTTTTCCAGCTACTGCAGATTACGAGAGAGAGAGAGCGATAAATATCTTAAAAATAGAAAAAGAGAGAAAGATGCTTATTTGCCTGTTTTTTAGACTAAGGAACCAACTAGAATAGACATGGTGATGAAACCCCAATGCACAAAACATTCTCCTTTGGGAAGAATGGCTGCGGCGGGGTGGGATGAATTTTGTAAAGCAGTTGGACGCCATTATCAGTTGGCATAGCGTAAATAACTCAACACAACCTCTTTTAGTTCCTAACAAAGAGTGAAAAACTTCTCAATCCTCAAGAAATTGTTCACTCCAGGTTAAATAACGGAAAAAAGCTAATCCCAAATGAAACAAATAATCGGAGAATTCCCCTTTCCATTATTAACACCATTTGGCGACACAGTCGAGTTTTCTAATATATGAACACAGAAAAAGACGGGCGAACGAAAGCTGGAAGTGTAAAAATCAACTCCCGTTCATTGAAATCGAAGCAATTGATTCAGAGAGCATAGCAACACAGATTAGAAAAAAGTAGGGTTTCCACGAGAAGGGGGAAACATAGAGGTTACCAGAACTTGAGGGATTATTGTGAGCCGCTCGGAGTCGAATTCAGAGAGAGAGAGAGAGAGACGAGATTCGTGAACAGAGTTTGAGATTCTTCGAATTTCGAAGCCTCTTCCGGCGCCGGCGGGCGAGCGCGCTAAAACGAAACCTCGTAGTTGATTTCTCTGATCTAAAACGATTTGTCGTCTCGTGAAGGAACGACATCTGGAGAATTTTCTCACATACATACGTCGGTGGCTTTTTATTATTTTTTTTCCCTCTTTTTTGGTGTCTTTTTACAAGAGTTCGAACCATATTCATGGAGGGAAAAAGAAAAATTGGATTTCACTTTTTTTTCTAATGTTTCAATTGTTATAATATATGTTTTCTTTTAGTTCATATAATGTTTGTCTATTTTTTAAATTTACCATATATTGTTTTTAAAATTTTTAAATTAACATTTTTCAATTTAATCTTTCATTGTCAATTAATATAAAAATAAACTTACATTACATAAAATTTTGTGTGGGGAGATTTAGAAGAGAAAAAAAGTCAGGTAAGAGAGAGATTTATAATTTATAAAATTAGTAGAAGTTTAAAGTTTTATTCTCTTTTATTTATATATATATATATATATTTTATCTTTTAAATTATGTCAATTCAATTCATAATATGTCATGTAAATTTATCATCAGTCAATTTTAACATTCACAAATAATAAATTAAAATATGAGAAACTGAATTGAAATTTTTTATACAATAGAAACTAGATTTTTAAAAAAATACTCAAACATTGGGGACTAAAACATATATTTAGCCTACAATTTTAATATATACAAGAATATAGAGATATTTAAGATATTTTAATAAATTTCAAATTTAATCCATACTATTATATTTTAGATTAGTTAAATTAGAAACTAACAACCATTATTTATTTATTTATTTATTTTGAGAAAGTTTATTTTATTATTTTAACGGGCAACAACTTTATTAAAAAAAATTAAATTTTGAATAGGTTGATTTTGTGAACTAATTCAGATTCAATTTAGAATATTTATTAACTCTGTAACAATTCATCAACTTATTTAAAATTGAACTAATTCAGATTCAATTTAGAATATTTATTAACTCTGTAACAATTCATCAACTTATTTAAAATTTATTACACGAATTTGGTAAATCGAATATAGCTAAACTGGTTAAGATATAAAGGTAAAAAGTTCAAATTCCGATTAAAAAAAGACGGAAACGAAACGAAGTGGAAACTCGAGCTTCCAGCTTGATCATGCTCCACAAATAAGTTTTTTCCTTGACTTTTATTCTCCACAAAGAAGTTAATCTAATCATGCTCCATTGGGTCAACAAATTTCGAGAAAAAGATGAAATATTTGAAACAAAACCTTTTAAATTGATCAAATACCACAATGAAACCTCGTAAACTACACTATGGAGAGACGTCCTATGAAGACTAAGAAGCCAGATTTGGGGGAGCAGCAGCTTCCACAGGCTTCACCATGGAGTAAAAAAGATTCAAAACATCAGCATGATTACGAATGTAACTTGGGCATTTCGAAAGGAAGTCTTGCGCGTCGGCATGCCTCCCAGCCTGGAAAAATGCTTCAAACAGATGGAGATACACCGAAGTAGAAGGAAACCTCTTTGATGTCATGGCCTTTAAGAAACCAATGGTATCATCAATTGTTCCTGACTTTGATACATACGCAATAAACGGGTCGATAAATGGTGGGAATTCATGATTTCTCATCGACTCCAACATTTTCAAAGCTTCTTTGAATGCCCCCCGAACCAATAGCTTGTTTATCAATGATTTATATGTAGAGTGCCATGGTTTTAGTTGTTTTCCATCAACAAGGTCACAGAGAAGACGGCTGGCATCAGTTTCACGCTTCTTCTGAGAGTAAGCATTTACGATTAAATCCAAAGCATATCCAGCAGAAGAAACCCCTTCCTTTTCAACCATTTTGTGGATGCAGTCAGAAGCCTTACCAAGATCTCCAGCAACACAATGGCCTTCTACCATAGATACCCAGGTCTTGTTGTCTGGATCACATCCAGAAGCTTCAATATTGTCCATGAAATCATTTGCTTCATCACTTTTTCCGTTACTACTAAGTTGATATGCTACCTTTGTCTTCAAGCCATCACTAAATACATATCCATACTCTTTCATTGCATTTAAAACCTGATTGTACTCTCCAATCCTACCAACAGTAGACAAAGACTTGAGAACTGCAAAAACCATAGGATCCGTCACTGCATTTCCTGCTTCTGTAAATACCTTCAATGTCCTTGAGAATAGACTAAGATCTAAGTGCTTACTAACTGCTATTTTCTTTAACAGAAAAGTAAGACAATCAACCGAAGGCTTATTACTTCCTGCCATTGCAAACTCATACAAATTTACAGCTTCTTCGATCATTCTTCGTTTGCAAAATCGTCCCAAAACCTTGGCAAATGTCTCTACCTCCATTTCATAACCATGGCTCCTCATCTCATCAACCACTTTCCAAAACCTATCAATAGAATCTTCCCTTCCCAACACCCTTGCCATGGCATTATAAGTTTGCTCATCGTGCTTAAACATTCCACTCTCACCAATCCAGCAGAAAAATATAAATGCTTTTGCCGGTTCTGTGCAAAGATTCTCCAATATCATCTTAACCATATCACCAGAAAAAGGAACACTCATATCACGCAATTGCTGCTCAACATCATCTCCCCACACTTTATTCCTGATAAGTTTGCAAACGATTGAGCCAATCTTTTCAGGAGACTTGTCAATTGATCCTGAAGCAAACACATCTCTCAACTTCTCAGCTTCACTCCCAAATCCATCCTCCTCAAACTTCTCCAATACTTTATCACGTACACCTTTAGATATCCCATAGCCCTTCTTCTTCATATCACAGTTCAAATCCCAAAACTCCTTAACAAAGCCATTCACACCTAGCATCCCCAGCATCAAGTTATACGACTTAGAGCTAAGTTTCTCGCCATAATTCCCCGAAACCCAATCAAAAAATCTAACAGCAACGTCAGGGTTCGACTCGAGCTTCCCCAACACCTCCAACACCAAATCGTGACTAACAACAATACTACTCGACTCTAAATCTTTCCTAATTTCATCCGCATCCCTAGATTTAGAGAAAATATCAGACACAACCGCGTGATCAGACTCCTTCTGTTCAATCGCCGGTTCGGACGAGAACGTTCGAGCCAGGCCGTATCCGGGTTTTACGAAGTTTGTGAAGTGGGAATCGGAAATGGGCGGCGACACCGAGCCGTGAGCAGGATTGCTATGAAGCAGTGAAGATAGAGAGCGAAGTGATTGCAGATTTGGATCGGAGAGTACCTGAAAATGCGAGGAGTTGGATGAAATACGGAGCTGAGAACGGAGATGAGATCGCAAACGGAGGAGACGCCATGAATATCTCATCTTGCGGCTTTAGGGCACAGGATCGGGAGCAGCGCGCCACCGAGAGAAATGCAGAGAGTAGGGTTTTAGAGAAGATATGTTTCAAGTGCTGAACAAGAACCAAAGCCAACACTTGGACAAAAATTATAAATTTTGAAAAGGAAAAAATAAATCTCAATTGGTACTTTTTTTTATTTTTAATTCTCAATTTTAATTTTAATGTACCAAAAATTCTCAATTGAGTTATTTGGTAAGAAATATGTTAGATTTTGTTAATTGAAATTTTATTTCTGCTTAAATGATTGTTTTATTTAACATATCTTCAAGGGTAAACCTATATTTTTCAATACAAAAGCGAGCATAGCTCAGCGAAGGCCCCTACTAAAAGGGAATGAGAAAGGCTTGTAGACTTATGAGGTTGAACGACACATTCGAAAACTAAAGCGCACACTCGACAGTGCTTCGAAAGGTGTCAGCAGGTGCGCGGAGCCGGAGCCCGCCATGTTCGTCCGCTGGCCGAGTGTTCGCCCACTTCAGAGTCTTCGCCTTTAGATAACTAAAAAAGGTGTCCGCCCCTTAGGTCGCCAAACTACGACGAGAGTTTCACCTTTCGACCGCGCCAGTCGCGTAGGGCTACTGGACCAGACCGAAAGGCTAAAAAAATGGCAATCAGTGAGTCCACATTGGAAAAATTTATGATACTAGGAGAGTACCATACTTATTTCCATTTATTGTTTGCCACATCAACGGTGTATTAAAAATAATGTAGAGTCAATTTCTTCTATTTATTGTGTAAATAGTAGGGAATATGGTACTCCAAAGTTAGATAATAGATACATTTGACAGAGTTGTCTTTTTTGTTGAAATGAGATGTTGTCCAAACTCCGAAATTGCAATCTAGACAATAGGCCCTCACCTTTTTTATTGGACTACGGAGCTGCGCATCCACTCATTTGTCCTCCGAAGTTGTTTGTCCTATTCTTTTTCGCTAATTTCTTTATATAGCTCTTTACGTACATGTTTTTTTCAATAATTTTTCTTCACGCACCTATTTATCTCATCAACATCAATGGATTCGAAATCTATAATTTTTTCAAGAATATATGCTTTAATGAATTTAGTTATGCTCGAGTTGAATTTAGCATTTCTTTAATTATTAATTCTTTATACTTTTTTTCGATCACATTTTATTTTAATCTCATATAGTAACTTTTTTTTATTAAAAACCTCTTTAATCTATCAATGTGATTAAAAATACATGTCAATTACTGTTGAACTTGTTTTTTAATGTCAATTATTTAAAATAGGAAAATTTCATTCCCTAATTTGTTTTATGAAATATTTAGCAAATATACGAAGTTCAAAAAATATATATATATACAACTTTATAAAAGTAATCGAAAATATAAATAAATAAAAGCAGTTGAAAAATATACCATTTTTATCAAGTGAGTAATTGCGGACTGCTCATTTATTTCATAATTGGTGATTTGACTTAAATTTTGAGATAAACGGTAATAATCGTCTATTAACTGTATTTTCCTTCTAGTCATATTTATATTCACTTTCTTTTTAAATTAATATGTGAAAACGGAGATTCCAATTTTTGATATTTTAAAATGAAGAAAATATATAATATTAAAAAAAATTTAATACATAAATTTCAACTAAAAAATGGCAACGAGAGAGTTCTCTTTATTCACTATGCCAAGATTAGAGAAAGCTCTCAACAGTAAAAGGAAGATACTAGAAATAAACCAAACACTAAAAAGGAAAAATCAAAACCCAAAAGCACAAAAAAGAAAACTCATTACATAAAAACTCTCTTTCCCTCTTGTGAAGAGAGGGAAAGGGTTAGAAATAAACCAAACACAAAAAACGAAAAATCTCTTGCAAAAGAGAATTCAAGAAAATTACTAATAAAATATATATATATATATATATATAGATGAGACGAAGGCTTCATTTGTTCATGCCAGTAGCATCCTTGACAGCATCAGCTGCGCCTTGTGCCTTGGCCTTTAATTGTTGTCCAGCCTCTTGCATCGATTCCTTGGCTGATTGGGCTGTATCGCTTGCCTTGTCCATCAAATTGCTCGCCTTCTCCTACATAAGAAAACAAACCAATTCGTTACATTCAACCATATAATCAAGCTTTTAGAAATGAGGCGGGACTCATTGAATGCAATAGTAAATCAATACGGTATTATTACATTTTCTATTCAATTATATCACCAATGACGTGATTTAATAGATTTAATATAAACATATATTATTGTCACGTTGTCTATGTTTTCACCAATTAAAAATAAAATAAGATTCATAAAATAAACTAATGATATGGTTGAATATAAATGATGGTAATATGATGTTGATGTAGTATCAAAACAATTTGAATTGAAAGAAATGACAATAGTCGGAGAACCTGAGCTTCCCCCTTAGCTTCTCCGGCATTGTAAGCCATCTTCTGTGAATTATCTGCCATTTTTTGTTAGAGAGATTTTAAAAGAACAATGAGGAAAGAAAAAATTGAAAATTAAAGTAAATATAATTCTCAAATTTGTTTGATTTGGAACCTCAAGCTACTTATGATTTATATAGAAGTTTGGATTGGATCAACGCTTGACACGTGTAAGTAGTAAAGGAGTACCATGCCACGTGTCGGAAAGTCAGTGGAGCTGTTATATATCAGGCCCATTGACCAGGGCAGCCAAGAAGTATTCATTTGTTTCTTATAAAAATGATTTATAGAAAATTGTTTTTCTGGAAACTAATCGCTCTAAATTTAGAATTTATTGAATCAACTTAATTTCAATTTAAAAAAAAAAACCTAACGTGTAAAATATCTCAAATTTGAATGACCATTTTACCCTTCTTGTAGTAGTAGGGTAGTGACAAGTGAAATACAATTAAAAAAAAAAAAGGAAAACAAAAAATGTTTGATGACGATAAATTATTAATGGTTTCAGTTTCACCAACAATAAATTTTCTTATGTCAAGGAAAAAAAACACAATTAATTTTCTATCGGGTATTTTCCCTATTCCTTCATCAAAACACCATCATTGGCAAAAATATAAATTAAAATTAAACGCTAATTTTTATTTTTTTAAATAAAAACTGCCTATTCTAAAAATAATATTCTTATATCTTAAAAATAGTTTTTAAAAAACTTTATTATTATTTCCAAAGAAATTGATAGCTAAATTCGGTATAAAACCATTAGTAATATTTTGATTGTTGTACTTTCAACTTCTATTTATTTTGGCTACCTTTAAAAGGTTTACTTTGATATTTATATTTTCAATGTTGATATTAGTTCTTCTCTGTACAAAACTTCCGTTTTGGTCTCTGAATTTAAAAGTTTATATGTAATTGAAATCTTTTAATATAAATTCATGACTATGTTTCAATCAATTTATCGAGGGGAGAGACATGCTAAAAGTGTGACCGAAAGAATGAGATAAAAAGAAAATGAAGAAACCAAAATATTCATTTTTTTAAAAGTATATACATCATCAAATAAACGTTTTGAAAATATAAAAACTAAAATCGACAAAAGATGAAGGTACATCCATCAAAATAAATCAAAGTCAATTCCAATCTAATTAGTGTTTAATCTTTTTCGAATTTTTTCTATGCATAATTTCTTTTGTTTACCTTTTTTTACTAACTCCAAATTCAAATCCATATTTTTGTCTCTCGCGATAATCTATCTCTATAAATATAGGTTTTTCTTCCTCTAACTAATCTCTTCATGTATAACTTTGAGAATGTGAGTTGAAATTATATAATATAGATTTACTATTATGTGAAAAAAAGTTTATTCAACAATCAATTTTTTGTAATATTTTAATCTATTGAACCATACTCCGTCTTTATTAATTTCATTAGTGATGAAATGAAGTATAATAATTCATTTAAAGTTTCATTAAATGTTCAAAATTTTTGTTAGTGGGTTACTTTGAAATTCCATTCATATGCCTTTAATGTTTCTATTTATTGGGGAGTTTTCCCTTTTTTGAAATATTTTTAAATATATGTTTTTCTAAAGTAGTTAAATTATATAATGTTAAAAAAATAATTATAGTAATAACGATAGTCATAGATATTGTAACAAGCATTGATATATTGTCATATAATTCACTTCTCTTAAATTAATTATTTCTACAATATTCCATTGTTATTTTATTGTGCATGTTTTCAGAAAAAAGAAAGAAAAAAGTTAATGCGCCATATATTGCATCATGTGTTCATGAAGTTCAAAATTGCCACATTCTCATATTCACCTCTTCAAAATATTATTTTTACCATGGTTAATTGTGTTATTATTTTGCACTCAACTCTTTAGAAAGAAACAAAAATACGCAACACTAGAAGGAATTCATATAAATTTATTGCTCGAAAACTCTAACAAGAAACTCTCTTTAATTTATTCACATAATATGTCACTGTGACAAATTACCTTGAATAAAGCAAACGAAACTCAAAACTCAAAATGAAACCACATTATAGAAAAATTATTATTTCTCTTGCAAAACAACATTCGTTGAAACACGGACGATTTCATTTATTCATGCCAGTAGCATCCTTGACAGCATCAGCTGCACCCTGTGTCTTGGCTTTCATCTGTTGTCCAACCTCTTGTATTGATTCCTTGGCTGATTGGACTGCATTGCTTGCCTTGTCCATTAGATTGCTCGCTTTCTCCTACATAAGAACACAAACTCAACTTGTTACCAATCACACTCTCAATCATCGACAATACTAAACAAGCAAGATACCTGAGCTTCGCCCTTGGCTTCTCCGGCATGGTAAGCCACCTTTTGAGAATTATCTGCCATTTGAGAGATTGAAAACGTAGAAAGAGCTCAGAAATTTGTAAAGGACCAAGGTGAATGTAATTCTTCAAATTTGTTTGATTTGGAACCTCAAGTTGCTTGTGATTTATATAGTGGTTTGGATGGAATCGATGCTTGACACGTGTAGTGTAGGAAAAGGAGATACCATGCCACATGTCAACAAGTCATTGGTGCTGTTATATATGAGACCTATGGACCAGGGGAACTCAAGAAACGTTCGCTTGTCTAAAAAATGATTAACCGAAAATTTCTTTTTAGAGAATTACTCAAATTTAATAATTTTTTTTAAATCGCGCTATATTACTTTTTTTTTTTTAACAAAAACATATCGCGTGTGAATTACTATTTTAGCCTTCTGCTAGAGTGGTGAAATGGATCCATGATTGCCACGTGTAATGCATCTAAAAGTAGCTCTATTCCACGTGTCAACAAACCATTGAAGCTGACTTATTAAACTTAAAAGCTCAAATTGGCAATTTATTCCTCTAGTTTTTCCCCTATCACTCCATCAAACACTATCCTTGGCTAAAATATAAATTAAAATTAAACATGTTTAAAAAAAAATACTACAAACATGTGCTCTTGTGATGTACCTATTTTCAAAACCATATTCTCATATTTTAAAAATAGTTTAAAAAACATTTGTACTCTAAAATTTATTATTATTATTTCTAACAAAATTAATAGTAAAATATGAATATAGTTCAACGCTTGGTTAAAATGTCTGTAATATTTTTTAGGGGTGAAAAGTTCAAATATCCTCCTGACTGTTATGATGTTATTATTATTATTTTTCTAAAAAATATTGTATGATGGTTCGTACCAACTTCATTTTTTTAGTACAAGGGTGAGAATTCGAATTTACAATATTTTGGTCAGAGATAAATATATTAATTAGTTTAAACGTTCTCTCACATTATTCACTAATTTTGTTTTTAATTCCTTTGTCTCTATAACTATACATTTTTTCCTACTATTATAGCTCTCAGAAATGTTTTTTTTATATATAAAAAAAAAGAAATGTTTTCTTTTTTTAAACATTCCCTCTATTTCATCAATTTCATTTCATGTATATTTACACCTATTTCATTCCTCTCACTAATCTCTTATCCTATATAATTAATCTCTTCATATATAATTATTATTAGGAATGTAGGTTGAAATGATATAATGTCTACATTTACTCTTATGTGCAAAAGAAAAAAAAAATTATTCTAACAACTTTTGATGTAATGTCTTATTTTTTTATATATATATATCATTGGTGTTCGGGCTAACTTATACACATTACGAAATACAGTTGTCCAGTCCTACAACATATGCCTGAAAAAGACATAGGAATTAATTCTTAAGGTACGTGGTCATCATGAGATTTGAACTCCAATCTTAACGAGTAACTATCACATGCATGTATTAATTTTATTAGTGATGAAATGAAGTTTAGTAGTCAATTTAAAATTTCATTAAAGGATCAAATTTCGGGTACTTTGGAATTCCATTCATATGCTTTTAACGTTTCTATTTTTTCAAATATTTTCAAATATATGTTATTTTTTAAGTAATTACAAACATATTATTTTAAAAAGAGGGAATTAGAAAATAGCATAAAAGGAGTATATATTTTTATATATAGCATTACGTTTTAAATTGTATTAAAATAACATAAAATTGCAAATTTATACAATTACACGAGACAAACAAAAAATCACTTTTATAACATTTAAAAAAAACAAAAAATAATGATATTTATTTCCCTTAAATTATAGTAATAATTGTTGTGCATGTTTCTGAAAGAAAAAAAAATTGTTATTGTGCCATCTTCTGCATTATGTATTCGTGCATAGTTTGCCACATTCTCATATTTACTTTTCCAAAATATATACTCTTTTATTCAAATTACTATTTCTGTGCTATCTTATATTTTTCACTCAAGCGTTTAAACTAAGCAAAAATATTTAACACTAAAAAGAATTTATATAAATTTATAGTAAGAAAACTATAACAAAAGAACTTTCTTTAATTTGTTCCAAAATATGTCATTGTGACAAATCCGACTAAAAATGAATAGACCCAAATGAAACCAAAATCCAAAATAAATAAATAAATAAATAAATAAAACTCCATTACAAAAAAATATTCTTTCCCTCCCTGAAAAAAAAAAAAAAAAACTCATGCAAAATAGCACTCAAAGAAAATGAATGAAAACACAGAGGCTTCAATTGTTCATATGCCAATAGCATCTTTGACAGCATCAGCTGCTCCCTGTGCCTTGGTCTTCATTTATTGTTCGGTCTCTTGCATCGACGACTCCTTGACTGATTGAGCTGCATCACTTGCTTTGTCCATCATATTGTTCACCTTCTCCTGCATAAAAGAAAACCTAACTTGTAATCAATCATACTCTTAATAATGGAAACACAAAACAAACGAGATATTTATCAACAACTAAATAATAATATGATCGAATATAAATGATGTTAATATTTGATATTAATTAATATAAAGGTAACGATTGAGCAACTTGAGCTTGGCCCTTCGCTTCTCCAGCATGGTAAGCCAATCTTCCGAGAGTTATCTGCCATTTATTTTTTTGTAAAGGGAGATATAAAAAGTAGAAAGAGCTAAACAAAACTGAAAATGACCAATTAAGTAAATATATTTCGCCAAATTTGGTGGATTGAGAACTAAATCGTTCTGATTTATATATTAGTTTTGATGGGATCCATGCTTGACACGTGTAATGCAAACCGGGGGTATTATGCATGCCACGTGTCAGAAAGTCAATGGATCTGTTATATATAAGACCTATTAACCAGGTGCAATCAAGAAGTGTTCGCTTTTCTAAAAGAAATTGATTTACCAAAAAATTGTTTTTTTGAGACTTACTCAAAATTTAGATTTTTTTTTAAATCAACTTATTTTAGCTTTCAAGTTTTTTGCGAGAAAATAAAAAGAAATTCCAAATTTAATTTACTTTTTTAGCCTTTGGTAGAGTAGTCAAATACATAATAATAATAGAATTTTTTATTTAGTCTTTTTCTTAGTTAAATAATATGTTGAGGGTAACAATTAGTTTCTCTAATTAGTTTTTTTTTTTACTCCATCAAACTCCATCGCTAAAATATAAATTAAAATTAAACACTAACATTTAAAAAAATTACCACAACTTGGGCTCTTGTGAGGCGTCTATTTTCTAAACTATATTAGTATTATATTTTCCACGAAATATATAGTTCAAAACACATTTCTACCTTCACTTAATTTTATTATTATTTTCCACGAAATTAATAGTTAATTTAAATATAATTCAACACTTAAAATATTAGTAATATATTTTTTAAACACTCATCATTCTCTCGCACATCTTTTCTTTATTAATTCTAATACTATTCAGTTCTCTCTATAAATATACAAAATTTTCAATTATATAATTATTCCCACTAATCTCTTTCTATATAATTATTCTTAGAAATTTGAGTTGAAATTATATAATGTCTATATTCACTAAAAATAATTCGAATTATATTTGCGTCTTTATTAGATTTATTCGTAATAACTTAAATGAAGTCCAGTAATTAATTAAAATTTTCATTTAAAAGGTTCAAATTTTGTTACTGGGTGGGCATACTTTAGAATTCGATTCAATATGCTTTCAATGTTTGTAATTATTGTGTAGTTTTTATTTTATCAAATAGTTTTTATTTTTTCAAATATACTATATAAAAAAGTTAAAATCATTGATATTGTTCTGACTCTTCCAAAAAAAAAAAATGTTACTGTGTCATATTTTGCGTCATGCCACATTTTGAAATTGCCAATATTTACATTTTCCGAATTATTATTTATAGAATGTTAGATTGTTAATTATGTTATATTTTGCACTCGAGCCTTTTAAATATATATATATATATATATATATATATATATATATATATATATATATATCAAATATAAAGTTAACATAAACAACCAGCTACATAATTAATTAGTCATAATTCATTCTTATTATGAAGAAAAGACTCAGGAGCCATATGCCAGCTCTCTTCTACACAAAAATGAAAATAAAGCCCTTATTGTAAGAGCTTTTAATTCAAGAAAAAGAAGAAAAATAAAACTAAGTAAAAATAAAAAAATGAAAAGTCATTGGAAAAATAGGTGATCTCACAAAAACGACTTAAGGAGAAATGAAAAAATCAGGCTTCATTTATTCGCGGCATCTTTGACAGCATCAACAGCTCCTTGTGCCTTTGCCTTCATTTGTTGTCCTGCCTCTTGCACCGACTCCTTAGCTGATTGGGCTGCATCATCCACCTTATCCATCAAATTGGATGCCTTCTCCTACATTAAAGAGAACCAATATGTTACCAGTTAAACCGACTTATGAGATAACCACTTATATCCAATCATATCAATAGTTAATTAAATTTAACGAGTAGCGAAAGTGAACCTGAGCTTGGCCTTTAGCTTCCCCGGCATGGTAAGCCATCTTTTGGGAGTTGTCGGTCATTTTCTTTTGGTGCGGGGAGAAATTAAGAAAATAGAGAGAGATGAGAACTTGTAGAGTTGAAGGTTTGTTGATGTGAAATCTCAAGCTTCTTGTGATTTATATGGTAACTCAGACTGCCATGTGGCAGCTTAAAGGAGTGACACATGTCATGATGCTGTTGGAATTGTTCTACATTTGGGCAAGGAAGTGTTCAAAATGTACCACAAAAGTTGGCTCTTTTTTTAGCCCATTTTATTTTAAGTTATTTTATCAACATTTTAACTACTTTTCTAATATTTCATTGACATTTCTAAAAATTAAAATCAATATATTACTTCTGTTCTTTTAATTATTTTCCGAAAAAGGAAAAAAAAAAGTAATTCTACCATTTTTGCCTCTTTGCAAAAGCACTAGTTTACCTTCTTTTTTAAGAATCCAATGTGTCGAATGGACCAAAATTAATTGAAATAATTCTAAAAATGAACTATAGTAGAAGAATTGTAAATATATATGGGTAAAATTTGAGGTGTTTATAGTTGTATTTGATTTTCTTTTAATCTATCAAACAAATTATTAAAGATATATGATTACAACGGCTACACATAATTTTCTCTATAGGTTAGATATTTATTTAATTTTGATTTAGCTTCTCAATGGTAAGTTGTTGAACTTGATTTTACAATTCAGCCGTGTTAAAATTTGTTGAGAATTACTAATACTACATCGTCAGACACTATTCCACGTGTCAATCAATCATTGGAGCTGTTACAACCAGGGTAGACAAGTAGTGTCCAAATCTAAATCACAAAGTTTTGTTTTTGTTGCTGTTCTTAGGAATTTGACTGCTTCCCATCTTTTTCCATAGGGTGGAAATGGTAATAATTTATGTTAGGATATTTCTGTCATTTTAAAAATATTGTATTCTTGGTAAAAAAAAATTCATTTTGCCAACATGTCAATTAGTGTTTCATTTTAATTTATATTTCAGGTATATATAGTGTTTGATTAAATAATAAGAAAAAATCTAGAGAAAAAATTGACAATCGAAACATAGCTCAAGACATGTAACATCAAGATTCAAGTCTCTACTCCCAATCCTTGTGTTGTAAAAGAATTATGGTAAAATTATAGTATGAAAATCATCTAAAGTAAGCAATAAAGCGACGTAAGTCAAGTCGACCAAGTCGGAGCACATGATCCGACCAGGCCGAGCAAATTCACCCTAATTCGAAAATCCTTCGTCTCATACAAAATGTGTAGTGTAGAGCTTAGCATAATAGACATCAAAACTTTTTTTTTTTATGTACTTCACTCATTTACTAGAACTAGAAGGCAAAAATGTTATTTTTTATTTTTTATTATTATTATTTTTTATTTTTGTGCTAAGGGCTTTGTTTCTAAAAGAAAAAATTGAAAATAGGATTAATTTCAAAAAACTCTAAATTTAGAGTAAATAGTTTTCCAAAAATAATTTTTGGTAAATCATTTTTTAGAAAAAACGAATCCGTCTTGCCTGCCCGGTCAATGGGTCTTTATATACAACAGCTCCAATAACTTGCTGACACGTGGCATGATACTTACACGTGTCAAACATTGATCCCATGAAAACCACCCTATAAATTTAAGCAGCTTGAAGTTCATCATCAAACAAATTTTGAGAATTTTATTCACTTTAGCCCTTTACAAATTTTTAATCACTTTGTACTTTTTAAATCTCTCTAAAAAAAATTAAATGGCAGATAACTCTCAGAAAATGGCTTACCATGTTGGAGAAGCCAAAGGCGAAGCTCAGGTTCTTCAAACATTGCTTTTACCTTTTTTTTTTTCCATTTTTTGTTACTACATGGTTCTTTTTTTTTTCGAAAAATATACTACATAGTACCCATCATTTATATTCAATCATGTCCTTATTTTATTTTGTGAACCTTAAATGTGACAATAATTTATGATACATATTGTGATATCGTCATTAATTGACATATATCTCTAATAAAGAGATTGTAGATTCGATTCCCCAACTCCACATGTTGTATTAAAAAAAATATGAAAATATTCACATGACTAACATTGCTGACAATGTAACCAAATATAAAGTGTTACTGTCTTGATTTATGATTTTATTCGATGGGTCACCTAATCTTATTTTTAAAAGTTGATACTACACGTAAATATAAATGGTAGTTGTTGATAAATATGTTGTTTGTTGAGTGTTTGATGATTAAGAGTGTAATTGGTAACAAGGGGGGTTTGTGTTCTTATGCAGGAGAAGGCGAGCAATCTGATGGATAAGGCAGGCGATGCAGCCCAATTAGCCAAGGAATCAATGCAAGAGACTGGACAACAAATGAAGGCCAAAGCACAGGATGCAGCTGATGCTGTCAAAGATGCTACTGGCACGAACAAATGAAGTTTTTGTGTTTCCACACTTTCTTTTTAATACTATTATTTTTAAAGCACAGGGTATTTCCAACCCTTTCTCTCTCTTTACGTGAGTGAAAGAATAATTTTGATACGATGGGTTTTTTTTTTTTTTTTTTTTAAATTTTGGATTTCATTTGCTTTATTCACTTTTTAGTAGGATTTGTCACAATGACATCTTTTTGTGAACAAATGTTAAAGAGAGCTCTTTGTTAGAGTTTTCTCACGATAAATTTATATAAATTCCTTTCAGTGTTACATATTTTTGTGCAAAATAAAACATGGTTAACAATTGAACATTGTTGAAATAATAATCTGAATGAACTAAAATAAATAAATATTATTTTGAAAATGTAAATTAAACAGGGGAATGTGGCAATTTCAAACTGCACATCAATTTTATTATTATTATTATTTAAAACAGGCAAATAACCCAATTGAACAACATTGTAGAAATGATTCATTTGAAAAAAAAAAAAGTAATTTTTGGAGAAAGGCACGTGTGTATGGTGTAAGTGGAAAGAACGAAGAAAAGAAAGAAAAAAAACAGAGAGGGAAAGATGGAAGACCGTGAGGAATTGATGTCATTTCGAACCATTGCTGAGTTGGAGACTGAAATTGAGAATGTTTGATATTATTAGATGAATTTTTGGGGTGGTGTAATGACTATAAAAATGGAAAGAAATGGGAAGAAGAAAGGGCAGAGAAAGGTGAGAGGTTGCTGAAGAGAGAGAAAGAAATTGTAATTAAAACATAAACAGAGACAGTATTTGGAGAGAATGGGAAAATTTGGATAATTGGTTTTGTTGAAATATATTGAGATTAAAGTTTAGAATTAGTTGACGTTGGAATCAAGTGAAATAATTTGGTATTAAATAGATATTTTAGGTTGGGCAGAAATTGGAGCAAATGACGACCGAGTTTAAAGGATTTATGAGTTGTTACTTTACTAAATGTTTTGGATATTATTATTGGAATTTGTGAGTGGTTATTTTATTAAATGTTTTGGATATCTATTGATATATAATTTATGAGAAAATATATATAATACGTATGATTTAGCATTTCTGCTGAGAATGAAAGAAAATATGTTTGTTCGAGAAATTAGAAATGTTTTTGAGAATTTAGAAATGCTTTATGATTCCAAAGAAATGTTCGAGAAAGTTAGAAATGTTCTTAGAAAGAAGAAAAGAAGAATTTTATAACAGTTTATGAGACTGAGAAAGAAGTTTTCAAACTACTATGTTATTGTATCTATGTGATTACCCATATGATATGTGAATGTGTTTCTATAGTATACCCAGAAATAGAAGGTCTTTAGCACCATTTGACTTCAAGAATTATTTTGTTGTGTGTATTGAGATTACTCTACTGCGTAGACTAGAATATAATATGGATACATGTATGATGTTCAATTTTATCTATCTGTTTTATGTTTGAAAGAAGAATGTTTTATATGTTTTAAAATGTGTTTTATAGCAGGTTGAGAAGTTGGCGTAACTAGGTCGCAGGGGATGCACAGGAATACCGGGGCGATTAGGACCAAATATGGATTCCGAATCTTGGTCCAAATCCTGAACTTGGGAGTGTTGTCTTTTCGGTTTGCCTAGAAAGAAATTATTGTTGCAAGTTTTATCTTGAGAAAGTTTACTGAGTTTTTAATTGCTCAAGTTTTATGAGATTTAAATGAGAATGTTGTTACTTCAATTTATGAAGTTTATTTTAAGAGTTGAATTTCAGTTGTTTATGAAAGAAGTTTTACGAGAATATTTTTTTATTAACTTATCACTCACTGAGAATATTTTCTTCTGAGTTTCCAGGAGAATTTAGTTCAACTTCTGCCATCCAAAGTAGTTGAGGATTTGTGTAAGACTGGTGGTTYTGTTAAGATTATTTTTTTTATCGTGCATTCATTCAGAGTTTGTTAGTCAAAATTCAGGTTAGAGATAAGAAGAAGTTGACCATTGACTTCGTAGTTAGTCGGAATCTGTGGTCGGCGCGACTCATTCCAGGACTAATAGGTGTTTTGGGACGGGTCGTGTCATTAACTTTCGTTATTCAATCAAGATGTGTCACATATCATGTCGAAAATCACCCCCACAAAGTTTAGTTGTTAATTTTTCTATCTTTCCTCAATATCATGATCAAACAACATCAATAACTACAATATAAATTTAAATTAAAACAAACCTAAAAAAAATTGTACTCATTTACCTATTCTGCAAGACACATACACTATTTTTTTTATTCCAAAGTAAGGGTGTGATTTGTAATTATCTACCATTTTAAATTAGAGATGTTAAAAAAATTGAATGACTCAAAAAACTCTATCAATCCGGGATTATAAACCTGTTTGAATTCGGTTCGAATAAATGAGAATCAAAGGGTTTGCCTAAAATAATTTTGAGGTTCAATTGAACCAACCTGAAATTATTATTACTTTTAAAACTATTTTTTTACTTGCCATACAGAAGATATTATATATTGATATATAATTGTTTCAATGTTATTCCTTTCGATAATTCTTTATAGATTATTTATTTTCTCATGCCTTCTAAAAATAACTCAATACAAATATTTCATGGTAGTATTAAATTAAGTTCAATCATTTAAAAGTACTTCGATCTTCCAATATATATATATATGTTACCAATATGCTCAAGAGTCCAAGTTGGCCATTTTTACTACTTTTTAATTGTTCATAAATATACACCATTTGAAGCAAATTACAAAAAATAGTGCATTCATTCTATCTCTGTTCAAATAATTTTTCTTTCAATTTTTCTTTCAATCTAATTTAATTGTTTTATTATATTTTCCCCGTAAGTTTAACCTTCTATTTAGGATCTAAACAAGAATTTCTACTTTAATAGTAAAATTCTAAATAGTTTTGTCCCTCATCATTTTTCTAATTCAATCTCTTTCATGAACAAAATACAATCCCATCAACCCTTATTAATTTTAGATCCACCAAATATTTAAATTTAACATAAATAATCAGCCAAGTTAATAAGAAAATCTTATGGATATATATAATATTAATGAAGAGAGGAACTAACACATCATAGAACTCAGCTCTCTCCTCTCTTGGCAAAGGGGGAAATCAATTAGAATAACCCACAAACAAAAAGAAGCCCTCCAAAGCCAAAAAGCAATAAAACCCTAAAGAAAATAGAGAAAAAAACTTGTGCATTATAAGCACGAACCGAAGCGAAACGATTCATTTGTTGAGGCCCGTGGCATCCTTGATAGCCTCGACTGCACCTTGAGCCTTGGCCATCATTTGTTGCCCAGCCTCTTGCATGGTTTCTTTGGCGGATTGAGCTGCATTGCTCGCCTTGTCCATTAGATTGCTCGCTTTTTCTTCAGCTTGCCCCTTGGCTTCTCCAGCATGGTAGCTCATCTTTTGGGAGGAGTCTGCCATTTTTTTGCCTCTTCTCTWATTTACACAATTGATTGATTAAAATTAAAAGAATGGTGAGTTCGAATATGGATGAAAAACTTAATCGATTGGTGTCATTATATAGTGGTTTTGAATAGATTTAGTGATTGACACGTGTAAGTATATATTACTATTGGGGAGGTAACACTTGTCATCATGTTATTGGAGCTTTGGCCAATTGACTAGGTGCCACACGTGAGACTCGAGAGAGATGTGTATTTTTAGGGCTGAGTTATTCAACTCTACTCTTTCAATAAGAAATTACTTTAAATGGTAGTTATATTATAGATAAATAATTCTAATTTTCGTTTAAAAAAAAATCTTTCTTCAAAATACTTTTTTTATTAGCAAGACATTATAAACTCGATCTCATTTCTTGTTCTTCTTCTATTTTTTTTTCAATTTTTCCTTCTATATAAAAGGCATTATTATTGCCTCTTATTAATTGTTTTTTTAAGTACAATATGTGTACGAAAATTCAAACTCGTGATCTTTTGGTTAGAAACATACCGCTGAACTAAGCTCATGTTATTAATTATTTAAGCATATAAAAAGACGTGTCTTATATAGAAAATAATATTATATATTAAAAAGTCTCAATTTATGTGTTACAATTTTGATGCTCAACATCTAAGTAGCATAGCTGTTCTTGAAAATTATGGGGGTACGTTATTTAATGTTTTGTCCCTCTTCGAAATTATAATGTTGGTCTCACTTCTTTCACATTTATCTATAAATAATTTTCTCCAAAAAATTCCTTAGTCAAAGAAATATGACAATACGACAATCTTTTGATATTCCACGATATTGATAACAAATCAAAAAGAAAGGTAGAGTCTTAATTTTTTAAGACTAAACCACTCTAGAAAGACATTAATTAATTTTGTCAACCTAAACATAATTTAACTGTTTAAGAGAATTAATATTCAAATCTCCAGCATACTTTTAATTCGCTCATAGCTAACTTTTCTTTTCCCTCTCTAATTTCTCTCTCTATCCAAACTAGTTCCCCAACCCTTTCACCTTTGTAATTAGTCCACAATATCTTTGGCTTGTTCCACTGATACACACAACAGAACCGAAGTTAGTTTCAATCTCTTCACATGGATCATCACAACAGTTACTTCCTCCAGGAAGAGGAAGCTACCATCTGTTTGAGTATGACATGGATTGAGAGAACCAACTTAGTAGTCCCACAGGTTTCGATAATAACTTTGTGAGAATACGAAAATAGGCTATGTAAGAATCAACAAAGTCATTCAATTGACAGGGAACCTACGATTTCATCTAACTTAACTTTCGACAAACTATGTAACCCCATTCCTCCAGGGCCAGCGAAGATTCCTAGCTCAGAGAACGAGAAAGATTCGAAGCCCTCAAATCCAATAGCAGGGACTGTCATCTTGTCTATCCAAACTTTCGAGGAAATTGGTGTTGTTGAAAACAGAGTGACCAACAGGACAAGACTACAGAGTGACACAGAAAAGAAGAGAACTTACAAGTGTACAACTCAGAGAGATCACGCGTCATTGTATGGGGGATGTCTGGATGGCTTGCGAGCACATTCTGCCAATACGAATAGCAAACAACAAAAAGATTAGATATTTGATCATACAGCAACTGGGTACTTACGTTGGAGTAAGCAGCAGATTTTAACTTCTTCATATTGCCACGAGGTCGAACGTCTTCGGTGATGTAACCAAGGGGAGCTTCGAAATGGATGAATTTACTTATACTACTACTAGACTTCTCTCACACTTGGGAGTCCATCGGTTAATTCCTTCCCTATTCCCTGGATTAAAAATCACAACTAAAGATCAGTACTCATCAAAACTTCATTAAGAGAAATAAAAAAGATATTATATAAGAGTTTAAGTCATCAGACCACTGAATGAAGAGCAATTTATATTCCATATAATGAAACGACAGTAAATATCTTATTTAATGTGAGAAATAAAAGCTTAGGCTCAAATGAAAACGAGGAAAATATAATCTGAAAAGTGATGAAATTTCAAATAGAAGCCAAGAATATGAACCCATCAAGAGAAGTCATTGATGAATAATAGATATTACAAATAATTTAATGTTTCAAAACAAACAAGTCGGAAGGTTAAAAAAACGCACACAGAAGGAGGGCAGCTGAATGGACTCGTTGCCATACAAACTATATACAGTGAACGTGAATCTATCTAAAATCACTCGAGAGTAGACTCCTAAACTTAAAATTAGGGCACTTAAAAGTTTGAACATTCTAAATCTTTTTATATATAATTTTTAAAATTTTAAAAATTTATTGGGGCATATTAGAAAGAGAACTCTAATCCCCGTTTGATAACTATTTTAACAGTGTTTCTAAATTTGTCTTTCCTTAATTTTGTTATCAGTCAAATTTTGAAAACTAAAAAAAAAAAGTAGTTTCAAGAACCTGTTTTTCTTTTTTAAAATTTAAGAAAAGTGATAATCAAACAAAATAAATCGAGAACAAAATTATTATTGGTCGTAACTTTTTTATATTATATTTTAAATCCAAGACAAACCAGGGCAATTGCCTCTCTTTTCATTCTTCGCTCTGTCTTGCTGATCGAAGCGTTCGAAAAACATAAATCATCAAGTTGTAAGCCACGGAGTTTATTTTAAAAAATCTATAGGATGCTCATCCCTTCCAAGATCCTTGATCCCTAGTTTTAGGAAAAATATTTCATCGTTCAAACAACAGACAAATGATGAGACGATAGGGATGAATTACTTCTAACAACATTCAAACGAGATCATAATCTAAATGAAATAAACAATCGCCATGAAATTAAGATCCCAACTCCGGAAAACGCAAGATACATCTTCTAATCCAAGCACAAAATCAATTCTTATCCTCAAAATCACGAATTGAAAAATCGACAAGCCAGGAAATTTACGCACAAGAACGAAAACTCGAAACCAAGAAGGCCGCTCTGCGATCGCGATCACCAACAAAACACACTTCTATACCGCCTTCAAGTTCAATCAAACCCCAATCGATGAAAGAAATCGCCGAATTCGAGACCAGAAAATGAGAGATCAAATGATGCCGAAGAAGAGAGAAATCGTTACCGGAAGAACTTGAGAATTTCTGGATCAGAATTCAGAACAGCGATTAGAAACCCTAATTTCGGTTGCAAGTAGATAATTCTTGGTCTCTCGTTTGGTGAAACCAAATGCGTGGCGGGAGAGAGGTAATTTATAGTGCATTCAGAATCCTGTAACGGACGAGTTTCTTAACAAATAAAAAATAAAATAAATAATGAGTCAGCAAATATTATTAATAACATCAAACTATTATATTGGGTATGTTGTACGTTACATTTGAATTCAAGTTGGATTTAGACTATACTACTTTTGTCAAATCTTAAACTTTATACGCTTAAAATTTTAGTCGGCATCATTTTTATTGAAGAGAAGGCTCGTGCGCCATACGCGAGCTCTTTTTTACACAAAATGAAAATAAAACCCTTATTGTAAGAGTTTTTAATCAAAGAAAAAGAAAAAAAAAACTAAGCAAAAATAAAAAGAAAAATGATAAGTAATTTAAAGAAAATAGGTCATCTCAAACAAGGGGCGGGTTTCATTTATTTGCAGCATCTTTGACGGCATCAATAGCTCCCTGTGCTTTGGCCTTCACTTGTTGTCCTGCCTCTTGCACTGACTCTTTGGCTGATTGGGCTTTATCACTCGCCTTGTCCATCAAATTGCTCGCCTTCTCCTGTACAACCCAATATGTTACCAATTACACCCCATTCATTATACCGAGAATTAAATATTCACGACTACCATTTATATCATCAACTATTGGAATTATAAAATAATGATATAGTTGAATGTAAATAGTAATGAGGGGAGAAAGTGAACCTGAGCTTGACCCTTTGCTTCTCCGGCATGGTAAGCCATCTTTTGGGAGTTGTCGGCCATTTTCTTTTGCGTGGAGAGAAATTAAGAAAACATAAAGATAGGAGAATTTGAAGAGGTGATGAGTATGGCTATGAAGTTTGTTGATGTGGGACTCCAAGCTTGTTGTGATTTATATAGTAGTTTAGACCGAATCACCAATTGACACGTGTAGTGCCATAGTTAGTAGCTTGCATGCCACGTGGCAGCTTGTGATTTGCATAAAAGTGACACTTGTCATGATGCTGTTGGAGTTGCTCTACATTTAGGCAGGTTTAATAGCGGAGGAAATGTTCAGAACTCACCACACAAGTTGGCTCTTTTTTCAGCCCATTTCATTTTAAACATATTGTATTTATTATTGGAAACAATACTTATGAGTATATGTCTGTACTATCGATATTTTAAATATTGGTGTTTATAGTTATATTCGATTTTTTTCAATCATCGAGAATAATTATTAATGATATCTGGTTAGAATGATTAACGAAACCAGAATTCTACAATTGGGCATTAGCAATTTTATTGATAAGACTCATTCAATTTTGATTTTGTTTATCAATTTTAAATTTACTAGGCTTAATTTATAAAATTTTAATAAATAAAAATCTCAATTCTCAATCAAAGTTTTAACTATGTTAAAATCATGATTAGATTAAGTTCAAATCTCTACCCTATTCCATCCACCTCATTGTTTGAAACCAGAAAAAAAAATGCTAAATCAAATAATTTAATGAAACAAATTGGTAGTCTCAATTTAGTTTAGTTCATTTCAATTTTGTAACACGTAAACCAAAGAATCGAATGAAATGTGGCATAAAAATCCAACCTTTATGAACACTCTTGAAGAAAACTATCTAATTTGTGTGGGAGGGAGTTAAAGAGTTGTATTTTTCCCCTCCATTTTTCAGCGAACCCCAAAAGGAAAACCCAAGGAAGCGTGGATGGATAAGAGAGAGATGATTTCATTTTCAAATGATATGTTCTGTTCTGTTCCTTAAAATTTACTCAAAATTCATCCCTCCCTTGTGTAAAATCGCAGCCCCAATTCCCGATTTTCCATAAATCGACATCCCTGGATGTCATTTTCCATCCTTCTGAGCCACATACGCCAAACCCACATTCATCTTCTTGATCTTAAACCTAAAAACCCTGCAACTTCCTCTTGCCATGACATTCTCAAGCATCCAAACCCCTGTATTTCCAATCCCTTTCAACATTTCCGAGATACCCTTTTCTTCTTTCTCCCTCATCTTTCTTCCCTCTTGTTCCATTAATCTCCCTTTTCAGTCATCTCAATAACCCAGGTGGGATTTTAATGGCGGGCCTTTCTGTTTTTTGCAATAATGGGTACTCTCTACCTCCAGGAAGCTTGGGAGCTCATGTTAGCAGCGAGAGGTCCTTTTGGAGGTATAGAAACCTTTCTTGTAGTTCTGTTGCTCTTCCTTCCGTGGCGTTTACTGCTACGTGCAGAAATTTTAATTCTGAGTTGCTCTGTAGTTGTAGATTTAAGTTAATGTTAAATGGGCAGAGGCGATTTTCCTGTTTAGAGTTGAGCAAGTTCTGTAAATCACGGCGTGGATTATCTTGTAACTGTAAACTGGGGCATTTGATGAATGATAAAATGCCCCATCTGGGTAGTAGAAGAAACAACAATTTGAGAAGAAAATTTGCTTTGAGATTACGCCCGAGGTTGAGATTGTTGTCTATAAGATTGAGAACAGTTTCTGTTAGATCAGCTCTGAACAATGTAGGGACATTTTTTAGGAAGAATATTAGGAAGGTGACCTTTTCTGCTTCAGTTTCCATTGTTTTGGGGCTATGCTATTTGTTTCTGAGAATAACAGCAGTCCCACCTTCTAAAAGTGTTCCATATTCAGATTTCGTAACCAGCCTTCAGAATGGAACTGTCACGAAAGTTCTACTCGAGGAGGGATCTCGTCGGATATATTTTAACCGGAGTTTTACGGAGTCTATTCAAGGCTCAGATAGCAAACCACCATTAGGAGATATTTCTGATGGCAGTGATAAGGGAATGAATGACGAATCAGGAACTGTTCAATCCCCAAGAGTAAATTTATTGACGAAGATTTCTAGAAGGAGAAGCCGTGCTGTGACTCCTGAGTGGCAATTTTCGACTAGGAAAGTTGACCGTGATGAAAAGTTTCTGCTTAGTTTGATGAGAGAAAAGGGAACTACTTATAGCTCAGCCCCTCAATCGGTTTTAATGTCGATGAGAACTACATTGATAACCATCATATCTTTATGGATTCCTTTGATTCCTCTCATGTGGCTTCTCTATCGTCAACTTTCTGCATCGAATACCACTGCAAAAAAGCGTAAACCGAATAGTCCAATGGTTGGATTTGATGATGTGGAAGGCGTAGACGGTGCCAAAGTGGAGCTCATGGAGGTAAGCTATTTAAAGCTTCATTTACTGACCAAGGATGCCATCTTGTGTGCTTGGTTTCAATGCAGAAGATGGAACAATATGGCTCTTACATGTTCCTTGTTTTAAACTATGTTCTTTAAATTAATTGTGTAGATATATAAGGTTTCAATGTTGTTCAAGTTCAAAGTACCTAGTATATCCTATCAACGAATCAATTTCGACATTTAATCATACATGAGACATGAGAAGCGGGTCAATAGGGTACAAAGTTTAGGGGCTAAAGTAGAATTCAAGTTAAAGTGCAAAGACTTTAAGTCGAGCAACTTATTTCTTTTTCTCTATTGACGAAATTTATGACCATAGGTAGTATCATGTCTTCAAGGAGCCATTAACTACCAGAAATTAGGAGCAAAGCTTCCTAGAGGTGTACTGTTAGTAGGTCCTCCAGGAACTGGGAAAACGCTCCTTGCACGAGCTGTGGCAGGAGAAGCAGGAGTTCCGTTTTTCAGTGTATCTGCCAGTGAGTTTGTTGAAATGTTTGTTGGGCGAGGGGCTGCACGTATCAGAGACCTTTTTAACGTGGCAAGAAAATGTGCACCATCAATCATATTCATCGATGAACTTGATGCGGTTGGAGGGAAACGAGGTAGAAGTTTCAACGATGAACGCGACCAAACATTGAACCAGGTAATCTCAGGTTAGAATGTAATCATCTCTCTCTCTAAAACTATTTGCAGTATAGTGTCAGTAAAAATTCCATAATCTTACTTGGCTTCTTTCCCAATTACCATAGTTGCTAACCGAAATGGATGGATTCGAGTCAGACATGAAAGTGATCGTTATAGCAGCAACTAATAGACCCGAAGCCTTGGATCCTGCCCTATGCAGACCCGGTAGATTCTCGAGAAAAATCCTCGTAGGAGAGCCCGACGAAGAAGGGAGGAGAAAAATCTTGGCAGTACATTTAAGAGAAGTCCCGCTCAAGGAAGACCTGAACTTGGTATGCAGTCTAGTAGCCTCACTAACCCCTGGTTACGTGGGTGCTGATCTTGCAAATATCGTTAATGAAGCAGCATTACTCACTGCTCGTAGAGGTCGGTCCATTTCTCGACTTGCAACACCCTTCTTTTAAAAAACGATCATTATAGCTAGGACAATAACTGAATGTACATCTTGCGCGCAAGATCCTGAAGAGTTTTCGAGCAGTCCTGGACATCATTCCGTGTTTTTCTTGTTCTTTTTTGCAGGTGGTGAAACCATAACGAGGGAAGACATAATGGAAGCCATTGAAAGATCAAAATTTGGGATAAACAACAAGCAGGTGAGGCATAATTCAATAAGCAATGAACTGGGAAGACTTTTTCCATGGATGCCATCTCTAATGGGAAGGAATGACAAAAAACTTCAAGGATCAACAGAAGGGCCATTAGGCTACCAAACTTTGAGCTGATTATTGGTATGATTTTCTTGTATCAAAACATATTCATACTTGGGCCCACATCTGATACTGTAACTAAATTTCTTGTCCCATTTTAGTACAGTGAGAAGAATTTTACAATCCTTTTCTCTTGAGGTGCCATTAATGTGTATAGGAACATAGGTTTTGGAATCTTCTTGTATGATAGCTAATAGTGGATTAGACCTGACTTTAGTTACTCATGGCTTTGAAATTCATGGTGGAAACTTATTTTTTCTAACTTTTTTAGTTCAGTTAGGGGGTGGGGTAGGGAATCAGGATCGAGAAACCTTCCGCTAAAAGATAATGTCTTAACAAGTTGAACTAGGATTAGATTGACAGGAAAAAGTAAAAGTGAAGTTGAACTCAAGTTTGATTGTTGACACCATTTTATGAACAATCAAAATGTTTTTATTTATGGGCAGTTCATGGGCTACAAGAGGTGTGCTTATTTGGACAGATGGATGGGAACACGACACATGGGGATTATGGGCAACAAACACATGGCTTTGAATGAGCCTCAAATAAATTAGTTTTATACTACTATCATATTTATTTTTTWAAAAAAAAGAAGTCATTTTCTTTCCGCATACAAAATATTAGAAATGGTCCACGGTTAGTTCAACTGGCTGGGACATATATGATAAAAAGTCTTGGTTGGAACTCCGATCTTAGACACGATTGTTGTACTTAAAAGAATACAAAATCTTGAAAATGAAAGAATGGAGATGGGAGTCCATAAATTGGTTTAAATACTATTTAAGTTACTTTGCATTTCACTTTGGTTCATTTTGGTACTTGTATTTTAAAAATATTTATTTTGATTTTTGTATTTTCAACTTTTGTTCATTTTTAATTATTATATTTTTAAAACTTTCGTTTTGGTCTCTAAACCTTTAGAATGCAACCAATTTGGTCACAATTTACAAAATTTCAATGCAAATTTTATTACACAATCGAAATTCTTAAATATAAATTTGTGACTTCATTTCAAAAAATTTCATGAATAAAATGTCATTTTAAAATTATGATAGAAATAAATTAGATAAAAATGAAAATGATAGAACTAAAACGATAATTTTAAAATTACAAGGACCAAAATGGACGTTTCAAAAGTATAGGGGATAAATTAAACAAAGTTAATAATCAAAATAGTACAATGACCAAATTTTTATATTAACCCCATAAATTTGGTTTCTTTTTTTTTTTTTGTTTTTTTTAATACAACATGTTGGAATGGAGATTCGAAGTCACAAGCTCTTGATTGGAGATATTTATGTCAATTATCGTTGAGCTATACTCGGTTTGATAATTTGGTTTTTTTTAAATGATCAACATTTGGTCAAGTTTATTTGAGGCGATTTATGTTGATGACATTATATGAAAATGAATGTTGGGAAAAAAACAAACAAATCTAGTAAGCATGAGTCATGTGATGAACATGACACCTAAATTCACACTCATAGTGACACAGCAAAATGCAATTATTATTCTAGATATCATAATCTGACTTGGAAGAAAAAAAAATCGACAGTTTTTAATTATTTTAAAAGCAGAAAAAATGATATATTTATACATTTATCTCTCTTAATTATTAGAATTTTAATAGCAATTAACAAAAAATGAGTGTTGACCGATAAATACACTTAAGTATTTTTTTTTCTCTTAATATTAATAACCACAAAAAAATCAGGAGTGGTAATTAGGTTAAGTAGAATTTTGGTCAAACAAATTCATTCATTTAAGACTAAAAAACATACCAATCATACCACAAAAAACTAACCAAATAAGCCAAAAAACCAAAACTAAACCAAATCTACAAATTAAGTTCAAATTTGAACCAATCAATACATTTTTTTTAGAAAGAACTAACCCTTCAAATAAATTAAGTTGATTTCACCAATTTTGTGTGCGTTTTTCTTCAACCTAATCCTCCTATTTGTTTAAAATTTCTCATGAAGTAATTTGATTAAAAGTTTAATCAATTTTGGATTCAAGGTAAATTATTATTTTAAAAAAATATATTTTATTTTATTTAAAAATTCATTACAATTAGGGAAAATGTTCATCTTACTAAAAGTAGAGTGATTAAGAAGATGATTTTAGCAATCACTTCACCACTAATCTCTCTCTTTTTTTTTGCTCCCCTCAAGTTGGGAATAAATAGACAAAACAAAAAGTGGGTTCTGATCAGATGCAACACGTTCTACGATAAGAAAACACGTGGCATGTTTTCACTCTCCCACGTCATCTTTTCTAATTTCTTATTATTTTGTTTTAGATCAAATTCCATGTCACATTGGTTTCCTTTTCTTTTGTCAAATTTAATTTAAATAGTGTAACGGTTTAGGAATTAATTCAAAGGACATTGCAATGATCAATCATTTAATTTAATAAATTGTGACGTTGATTAGGACTATAACAGTCGAAATCATTACTATTTTATTAAAAAGAATTGGGAGTTATAAATAAACCTCATTTTTTAAAACATAAACTACAAATTTAGTATCTAAATTTCACATATTTAATCTCTTAATTAACAAAAAAAAAGTTAATTATGTTCTTAAACTTTTTAAAGTGTGTGCGTTTGCTTTTTTTTTTCTTTTGAGGTGAATAAATATGAGGTGGAAATTGAACTTTTAATTTTGAGAAAGGTAAATAATGTTCGGTTATGTTTAGATTGGTTAAGTTATATGTTTATTTAATTTTTAACATACCATTAATGTATTTTTACTTTTTATTAAGATATATCATTAATGTGTCAATTTTACATAAATGATTATGAATTCATTCGGTCTTTTAATTTAGATACAAAAGCTTGATATAATCTCAAATCATAATTTGAATAATATAATCTAAACTATATTTAATTCAAATAACATAAATTTTCTTTTTATTACAATGTGTGGGGTAGAAATTCGAATTCACGAATCTTTTAATCGGAAATTAATGTATTAACCAATTGAACTATGCTCAAGTTTTTAAATAATATAATCTAATAATATAATCTTAGATATCCTATTAGTTAACTGACATACTGTAAGGAGATAAACAACTATAAACATGAGCATAATTAATATTTTAATTACTTCTAAAAAGTCATAATTTAAAATTCTCAAAATACATTTATGTTATGATGCAATAATAAAAAAACAACCCAATAGATTATCGATATATCACATAAATACTTGATTACCATAATCTAAAAATATAATAAAACAAAATAAAACATCGATATGACATATATATTAATTAGTTAAATGACGTACTACAAAAGACAAATAATCATCAACATAAGCATAATTTAATAGTTATGTTATGTCTGCTCCTATGAAATGGTAAGTTAAATTCTCACCCTACATTAAGAATATGATTATAGATATATGACATCAGCATTCAATTAACATAGTTAATAACAAGACCTAACAATTACATAGTTAATAACAAGACCTAACAATTGAGTCTGATTGATAGATATATGACATCAGTATTACCAAATTTTGAACTAAAAAAACAGGAAATAACTATAAGCTCTAATTCGAAATTGATAGAACTTTAAGAAAATTAAAATTATTTATTTTTTGTTTGCAATCGGATAATTAAAAAGCTAAACACGGCAAATGACGATGATGTCTGAATCCAAGAGAATTCCCGAAACCAAATTTCGTGGGGTAAAACAAGTCAAACAAATAGAATTGGTTTGATTCAATTCTATCCAAGAATTTATTTTCCTCACATTTTTTTATGACGTCAGCAACCTCTCTAATCCACAAGAGACACAATCCCCTACTTCGCACCACCGCCAAAAACCCACATTTTTTTATTTTATTTTCGAATTCCAATTAATCCTAATTCTAAAACGAAACTAATTTAATTTGTTTTCTTGGAGACAAGAGGATCGCCACCAGATTCGTCCACGTCAGAACATTCATTGGAGGCATGGGTGTGACGTGTTGTAGGGGATCATAACCCACTGCCCATCTGTCAAGTTTTTTCCTCTATTTAAACCCCACAGGTCAGACAAGAAAGCTCAC